GATTTCCACCGTTTCGACGGTCAAATGGCACTGCCTTTTCGACCAACTTTTAAATGCACTATAGCTACCTTTCTCCTTCAAGAGGGGTTGACCCAAAAAGGGCAAACTGTGAGACATTCAACTCTTTCCAAAATTTCGTCTCATTTAAAAATAAATGAGAATGTAATTTTGGAATATTTTGTACATTGTACCAAATATTTTATGTACTATATAGTTAGTTTACAAAGCGTACAAAAAGTACTCATCGTGTATAGGTTGAACTCGTGTCTTATCAAAATTGTCCAGTTTATGTCGTAGGGGAATTATGTTGGAATAGAAAATATATTCTAACTTATAAATAAGAGTTTTTAACAAATATATTATTAACTATTATTGATTGTTATGTCTATTATGAGTGTATTCATTCATTATAGATGATGATGATTTCTTGAGTTTTCAAAAGTAAATTCTTAACTCGTAATTTATGTAGTGACGACGCACGTGAGATTAAAGACTACAACTTAAAACTAACTATACATATCAGAATAATGTTAATTATTTCGGGAAGTACACAGATATGACATTAAACATACTTTACAAGTTTAAGCAAGATATAAATTTCTCAAATGTCTTGAAACACGATAAGTCGATAACCTATCTTACTAGAAGTGAAGGGTTAAAAAACGATGATAATAGCTAATTGTCAAAACAGACAAAAAAAATCTTGGATACGTATATATATTTACTTCAAATATATATTTGTTTACACTTTACCCAAAACTCTTTAAATAGTAAATATCTATAAATCAATGTTAAATAAATTATTAATTTTGCTTTAACAAAAAATTTCTCTGAATCCAACTCAGACCATTGCACTAAATTGATAACCGAGCTAAATATTCAAGATAATAATTTTATTTAAAATTCTTTAAGATTCAAAGAAAATATAAAATAAAACAAATAAATACTGATATTTTTTAATACACTAGTCAGAGTTGAATGTATATTACATGTTATTTTGAAATACTTTATAAGTACAATGAAAATAATGTTTGACCCTCCATTTATTATTTTGATCTAAATAAGAGAAAAATGCAAGCCACAAAAATAAATGTTAATTATTATATATGTACGTAAATAGCGAATTTCATACTTGAACGTGAGTATTAGAATTAGAATTAAATGCATAAATGAAGATGAATGACATATACGATACATAAATTAACGTGAATGTTAATTAATTTAAAATTAATACCAAAGAATATATACGTGATATAAATGTTAAATCATTTATATTAAATGAATATAATTTAATTTTTAATTAAGTGAAATTGGATACTAATAGCATACATGGACATGAATAATGAACTACATTTTTGTGAAATTCTAATGAATATTAATTAAATAAATGTTAATGTTAATTAATTAATTAATAATTAATAATAGGGAATAAACAAAGATTTTGTAGTATTTTTTACAGTTTGTAAATTAAATATATATTGAAAAACGAAAAGTACATTGAAAAATGAAAATTAAGGAATTATTAAAATAATTAAACTGTAATAGAGCTGTAATCGTTCAAAAAATGATTCCCACTTGACGTAATATTTAATATATTATTATCATAGATATTAAGAAACTTTGGTGACAACTTTTTTTTCTTTAGAATTAAACTTGTTCGCTTCTACTCGAATCTATCTAGATCTCATCCCTAATTTTTGCAATACATATAACTAGTGTTTTAAAAGGCGCTTAGGTGAGATGCGCGGTGAAAACGTCAAGCCACCTTATTCAGCGTTGACCGCTAATGCGTGCTTAGGCGTGATTATGCAAGCCTAGCTATCTTTTTTTTTTTAATTATTTTTTTACATTTTTTAAAGTTAAAACTTAAAAGTTGATTTACATTTGAAATTATCTTTTTATTGGAAGCTTTTGAAAAAATGTATAAAGTTTCTGTAATCTATTTTAAATGTTTGATATGCATTATTTTTAATTATTAATTTTTTTGATTAATTAAAAATTAAAATAATATGAAAAATAAGAAAACACATTTTTACGTATATGCCTTGCCTAAACTCGCCCAATCCATAGCTTGACCTCCACGCATCGCCGCGTAATACCTTTTAGAACACTGCATATTACACAATTAATATGTATTTTTCACTTTGTAGAAAATAATTATTTAAGGTCACGACGATTTGAAATGCTTCTTTTTTAGTAATAGTTGATAAAGCACAACTATCATGTGAATAATGTTCATCATTGACACGTATATTCAACACCCTTTAAATAATCTCGCCATCAATAAGCAATTCCTCACCGAATCATTTTCAATAATTCAAATTTTTCTACGTGTACCTCCACCTTCACCAACCTATTGTTTAAAAGCAATGAACGTTGTCTTTGCATCAACGTTCGTTTATTAATAAAATTGATAGCATTCAATGTGTTAATTTTTTTTGGGTTTGTCGCTCTACTCAAACTACCTTACATTAGATAGGTATATTATCGATAAATATTAAAAAAATTATTCACTTATTAATAACTTGTAAAGTAATAATTTTTCATAATCAAAAAGTATAATTTTTGACTAGTTTGGCTGTAATTGCAATACCCAAACACTACCATTATTCTTTATTCCACCGCTTTCCCTCTGCTTTGAATTCAAGACACTGGCACACAGAATCCAAAAATCGATTCAACGTTATCCCCAACTTAATATTCTTCTTATCACAATCCCAATCCCAATCCCAATCCCAAACATGAAAATTTCAACATACCTCGATTCACCTGTTGACAGGTCGGTTGGTCTACTATTATGGAATCTTGCTACACAAACAGGCGCATTTCATAGAATTTAAACATAGGGGACACGTATCAAACATTCATTAGATGGTTTGATAAAAAAAAAAAGAGCCACGAAGCACCTGTCACCCAATCGTGTCAACTGTCCCTATTTGAGTAGCTTAATTGACTATTATGCAAGTCTGTTTCCTTGACAGACGTGAAATTGGTCGGCACATGTCAGTCAGTTGATCTCTGATCATCAACTATCGTCATCCTCAACAAAATTCCCGGTGATGCTTTTAATACACATTTTTATGATTTCGCTTTCTTAGCCAAGCTCGCATCACTTAAATGAAAATCTAGCTTCATTTAGCTTCTATTTGATTCAAATTTTCAAAAATAAATTTTGTAAAATAATTTTTTTTTTATTAATTTGTAGTTAGAAGTCAACGTGTAAATTTTTTTATTTGAAAGATTGGAGGTTCAAAGTGAATTTACATAAAAATGAAGTCAAATGAGAACTTACTTTTAAATTAGTTAGCTTCGTGTAAAAGTGAATTTATGTCGTGATAAACTTGTAGCGAATAAAATCTAAATCAATAAATATAGTAATTAATAGCATAAAGAAAACGGACATCGAAAATTCTTTAAAATATCATCGATTTTATGAAATGTATGGTTAAAAATTGTAGGTCTCAAAAAAGAATTTAAAGAAAATGAATTTTGAAAAATGGGCCCAAATATTGACTAAATTTTCTGAGGAGCCATAACCAACTTTATTTGTTTATTTCAAATGTGACATTCGACATTTTAACTCTTTTGAGTCTAATTCCAAACCGATTTTTAAGATATTGCTTATTTGCCTATGAAAAATGTGTAAAAGAAAACTTTTGATTCCTTAGTTGGTTCTCGTCGTTGAACTTCAAATAGTCCGACTTTTTCCCATGTGATCGATATTAAGGTATTTTGTTATTTCCTTTTTCATCCTCGTTCAAAAAAGAAAAACAAAATTAAATTCATGTTTGATTTTTTAAAAATAAAATTTTAGTAGATTTTGATAAAAATTAATAAAATATATGATTGAAAAATTCGTAAAAATTATGAGTGATATGAAATGCGTGATTAATTTTAAAAAATAGAACAAATATGTGCCAAAGAAATTATAAGGTTAGAACTTAGGAATTGGATAGAAAAACTGTAGAGATGAGTCCAAATGGGACCCGCCTGACCCCTGAAGCTCGTTCAACTTTGGTTCCCTATTCCGTTCATTTCTGATTTCTCTTCCCAAGTTCTTGCAAAAAAAAATTCAAACTTTGCATCTGTCTTTCTCTCTCAAATAGAATTCTCTCTCTCTCTCTCTCTCTCTCTCTCTCTCTCTATTATATATATATATGTATTTTTTATTCTGTCCCTTTCCAGCAATTAACAACAACAATAATAATGGCGTCCGTGAAGAACCCTAGTATTCCTGAGCCGCCTTTACTGTTTGAGGAAGAATTTTAGTATTAGCATAATAGCCTTTCAAATTTTGCTCTCCTTTGTATTTATTGACAGCTTATATGCCTGTAAGTGATTCTTGACTTCATTATTGTTTCATGGGTATTTATGCTGAAATTATTTGACTTTTTGATTGATTATATATATTTTTTGTTATGATGTAAAATGCTGGGTGATTGGCTTTTTGAAGAATTTTGAGTTCGGAAATTGAATTTTTGGAATTATTGAACTTTCTTTTGTTTAGTGAATTGGGAGATCGGTTCCTTGTGGTAGAATACATGATAGACGAAATGGAAACAGAAAATTTGGAATTAATAATTTTGTAAAATGATTCTGTAATACGAAAAAGTATCCTGAAAACATTGAATTATTTTAATTGATTCTTGCTCGCTCGTGAAGAATGAAAGCCACAATATTGAATTAAATGTTACTAATAAAAATCTGAAGTTCTTTCTATTTTACTTGTGTCTTGAGGGAAAGTCAAATACAGTGAGCTCTAAATTTTAAATCTTGAAGTGAGATTTTCTTAAGTGCAATCGTAAATCTGTATTCTGTATAGGGTGACATTTCTGGCCGGTTCTTTTCATTTCTCAGGTTTCAGGGGATGATTGTTTGCTGGCGATTAGAATTATGTAGGAAATCTCCAGTGTTTGGTGCTTGATTTTTTAACAAAGCAACCTGGGTTTTTTTTAGGTGTCTTCTGGTGACTTTGTTAGCATAAGTTGTTGTAATCTGCAATGGGTGAGGAGGGCCTACGGATTGGTGGGCTTTCTTCTGGTTTGGCTGTGGTTCTGAATGGAAAGGGCAAAAAAGAGGGTTCTGGGAACTCCCACCTTGTGTCGTATTGTGATGATTTTGGTGATCAGTCTGTGGAGCGAACTCTTGAGCACATACTCAATCTCCCTTGCAAAACTGTTAATCTGTTGACACGCCCAGTTGATACTAATGTGGTTCACTCTATAATAAAGAACGAATTCTATAAGTACCATCCTGACTTGAAAACTGCTATTAGAAACAGAGATGGGGTATCTACAATTGGCGAGGTTGTTGGGCTAGAGGAATCGAGCATCTGTGGCGATATTCGAGTTGTTAAATCACCATTGCTAGTGGAAAGTCATGCTCTATTCAGTAGTGCAAGGGCCAATGCATGTGTATGGAAAGGGAAATGGATGTATGAAGTGATTCTTGAAACTTGTGACGTGCAGCAACTGGGTTGGGCTACTGTTGCATGCCCCTTCTCTGATCATAGGGGCGTAGGTGATGCAGATGATTCTTATGCATATGATGGGAAAAGAGTCAGCAAATGGAACAAGGAAGCTGTGCCTTACGGCCAGTCATGGGTTGTTGGCGATGTAATTGGGTGTTGCATAGACTTGGATTGCGATGAGATATTGTTCTATAGAAATGGCGTCTCTCTTGGAGTGGCATTTGGTGGGATTCGTAAGGTGGTGCCTGGATTGGGCTATTATCCTGCCATTTCCCTTTCTCAAGGTGAACGCTGTGAGTTAAATTTTGGGGCTTACCCATTCAGATATCCAATTAAAGGCTTTCTTCCCATTCAGGCTCCTCCCTCCTCAAATGCTCTTGCAACCAATCTATTTCATTGCCTTTTGAGGCTGTTGGAAATGCAGCGTCTCAAGAGGGCAGAATTTGACACTGTTGAGAAGCTCAGAAGATTGAAACGATTCACATCATTTGACGAATTGTCTCATCCCGTCTTTCATGCAATTTGTGGAGAGTTATTCGCTGTTCTGGCTGCTGAAACTGGCAGTGCAGATTATGTAGGACGGGGATCCTTTTTGTCATTCATAATGGAAACTTTTAGAGTGCATCCACCGCATGACTATACAAGTATGGATAGAGTACTTGATTCATTTCTTGAATTTGAGGAGTCAAGATTATTATTTGAGCACGCCATTGAAGCACTTTCATCTGGGTGTAAAACAGCATCATTGATCCTTGCAGAGTGTCCTTATTCTGGTTCATATAGCTATCTTGCTTTAGCATGCCACATTTTGAGGCGAGAAGACTTGATGGCCCTCTGGTGGAAGTCTTCAGATTTTGAATTCTTGTTTGAAGGTTTCCTCTCGAGGAAAGGCCCAAACAAACATGATCTTCAATCTTTGATTCCTTCTGTTTGGTGGCCTGGTTCATATGAGGACATGTCCAACGAGAATAGCATGATGCTAACGACAAAAGCTCTATCTGAAGCGATTGATAAGGTTTGCTTTTAACACATTGACTTATTCTCCTGGCTCCATTTGTACAAATACTGTATTATGTTTTCTTTGTCATTTGAGACTTCTGTGATCTATGCCTTGTGGCTTGTATTTTATGTTGAGTTGTGAAAATTATGCACATATTATGTTACTAGGATGGAAACCAAAAGAAGATAAAGAGAATTGGGAGTTGAGATGCAGCTTAATTTTTATTGTCTTAAACGTGTGATTGTAGGTTGATAGTAGTGAGAAATTACCAAGAGAATTCAAGCAAAAGGCACGTTTCAATGTCATCTGAGTTTTGTTGATTTGAACTATGTGGAAGTAGCAAAACTAGGGTTTCCAACCCTCCATGTTTTCTTTATTTTGAGTGAATGATGCTTTGTCTGAAAAAAAATATTTTCAGTTTATAATGATTCCTTTTTAGAGTTCTTAAATCATATATATTATTGCAATTCAGTTGCCTTCTCATGTTGTGCATGAGCAGTTTACCCATATTTACGCGGTCAATAATATGTTTGACCTGTAGCAAGTATCTGGAATATTTTTGCCTACACTGTGGAAATAAACAAAATCGAAGAGTTAGTTTTCAACATGTTCATAGCTGAAAAAATGGGGAAAAGGTTCCAGGTTAGAAGATCTAAATATGGCAACAATGGGCCTGACGTTTTGTGTCTTAGGTTGCAAATTAACACTAACAGAAGAATCACTGTTGGTTTCTCGGGTGATGGACAGTAGCTTCCAGAATAATGGGCTTTTTTGGTGCTGGCATTGTGAAAATATGATGGGCCTTTTGAAGTATTGAGTACATGATGAGAAGGAATTGTGGTGCTGGAAATGTAGAAACAAGGAACACTTGCAGAAGAAGAAAGAAAAAAACAAATAAAATGGAAGGGAAGAGAGCAATCAAGAAACTCACACAACCATGAATTCATAACATAACTCTTATAATAATCAACTCTACCAAATTAAAGATATTTGTAAGTATACCTTATAGACATCTCCTACTAGAAGGATTATGTTTCTAAATATTCTTTAAACATTTAGAATCTTTGACCGTTAAGTCTATTGTAGACCTCAAAGACCATTCCTTAATTAACACTGGAAGAAGACCTTGGACTATAAATATACATCGATGTGAACAAATTATTTGAATAGATTCTTGCATGGTACAAGGATATCAATGTCAACTTTCGCGAATTATAATACCCGAGACCAAAAATGTAAGAATACTAATTAAAAAGTTACTCTTGAATAAGAGAATTCATCCTAAAAGTGCCAAAATTTCTTCAAATCTAGCTAATAAGAAATTTTCCACACCTGCCCTGCTTTTTTGTGCATATCCGTGTCATTTCCCTACATTGAGAAAGCATATCCCAAGTTTGAAGTTCCAGAGCATAACAGAGACTTGAGATCTTAAGAACTCTTTTGCCTTCTTCAAATTCAATAGGGAAGCTAGTAAAGAAACTGATGGAGATTGTTATGGGAATTTTATTGGAGACCTTCCAAAAATTTGAGCTTTCTTTTGGCATAAACACAGGAAATAGATTTTTAACTTGTTTTCTTCCCATAATTATTAGTTTTAAAGTTAGAAATTCTCCATTTTGTTATTTTGGCAATATTTCATTTTTTGTTAGGAATTTGAAGTATATTATAATAAGTCATAAGAATATTGTTTTCTAAATAAATAGACAAACAATTAAGTAATTGAAGCACGTTGAAATTTCTTCCTGAGTTCCTCCCCAAAACTATTCTATTATTTTCTTCTATTACTTCCTCTCTCTTTCTTTTTTCTATTCTAAATTAATCACTCTTATTGACAACTTCTAACTGGCTAAATAACAAAATAGTTACTAGACTGTCTTTAGAATCAAAGATGTCTATATACTTGTCTCTATTATTAATTTCAGTTTTGTTCTCTCCCATGATGCCTTAGTAGACCAAAATACTCTTGACTCCAGAAACATAGGAAATTAATAAAAATATTCTATCATTTATCTAATATAAATAAATCCTAAAAGTGACAATTTTGTTGAGATCTAGTTAATCTTAAAATTCAAAATTTTACCTTCTTTTTTGTGCATAAGCCCTGCATCGTATATGGGTTCATCATTTATAGAAACATGCACTTACAGTTATCGTTCAGTACAGGATTTGGTTGGCTTTCTTGACCATGGGATTACATTTGGGAGATGTTAATCACCTTCGTTTTGTTTTTCTCACTGTTCCTTGATCCTTTTTTTTTACTATCAAGAATCACAATGCAGAAGCTTCCTGTTATTGATATTAAGTTATATTTGCATCCTGTTATGTTGTTTATTATTTAAGTGTTTGTTTGGTGGAATTATTTTTATGTTATATTTATGATATTTCAACAAAGGATTGATAATATTAAGATCCATCAATGAAAATGATGATGTTGAAGGAATTTATAAATATATAACTTTGTTATAGACTCTTTTCAGGTAAAATAAATGGTTGCATGGTACCCTCTCAAAGTCTGAGACTTCAACTTTCTTTTGTGTCATGCTAACATTAAATATGCCACCTTATCATTGCCCTTCAAGCTATCTGAGAAAACTCAACTATCTCCCTATCGGAAAGGAAAGGAAATTAAAAAATTCTTGTAAAATAGTGTTGCAACTTGTTCTCGTTCAAGTCACGACTTGCCATCTTAAAATCATTTATATGCGTAGTTGATGGTGTCTCCCACTTCGGTTTAATTTATAATATGGGACGTGAATGCTTTCGGTGATTGAACACTTCTAATTGAGTAGAGTAGAAATTTTGACATGTGTTTCATTTGTCAAATCTTGTCTATACTGTTGTCAAAACTCATTTGGATGAAATGCTGACTTCATTATTAGCAACGGGAAACAGCAAAATCTGGAAATCCAAAATCTGGAAATCCTAGAGACTTGGACAGACGTCTGTGCATTCCTTTAAGATATATCATTCTTATATTGGCAAGTTTGAGCTCTCGTTAAATTCTCTTCCAAATCAAGAATGTTAGTGTACCATAGTGAGTGTTGATGATGCTTTTGACTAATGTTTCTTGACTTAAAATATCTTTTATTATGTCTTTTAACTTGTTGAGTCCTTCAACTGAATTTGGTTGGGGGTTCTAACCGGAAGTCCGGAACTGAAATCGTTTGAGGAAGAGCATTTGCAAAGAAGAAATATCTCCTTTTTCTACTCATGCTGTCATCCACATGCTTAGGTGTAATTCTTCACGACCTACAATGAAGCATGAAACTTTTGAATGAAAGACGAATCTTGCTTTTGTGGAAATTATGAGGATTCCCAATACTGAGCTTGGGTATGAATTAATTGGCTAAGCCTGTAACTTGTATCTGCTCGGTGCTATAGGGTCACATCTGATACATAAACCAAAAGAAAATAGATCTGTGATTAATTCCTGATTGCTGGATGTGTGAAAGTGAATATTGAAATCCCTTTTTGATGCTACGTAAAGTAGTTTATTGCTTATACTTGTATCTAAATGAAGATGAAAAACACAAGTCAAACATATGGTTAAAGTTCGTTCAATATTTTTTTATTATGCGTGTGTAGCTTTTTCCTCTTTACATACCCCTATTGATAGTCTCCTCCATTCTATCTTCGAAAAATTTTCATTGCCCCATCTCATGGCTATTTCGGTTTTCCCTTTCTATTCTTGCAACGTTAATCATGAAGAAATTTCTTGTGAATTCTCTGATATTAGGTTTAAGTTTCTTTTGTCTTTCTGTTTATGAATGTACATTTATGACCCTTTTTTCAGATAGAAGAGAAGCAAAGGGACCTCTGTCGCTTAGTCTTGCAATTCATACCACCTGTCACACCTCCTCAGTTGCCCGGTTCAGTGTTTATGACATTTTTACATAATGTTTTACTGAAGAGCAGGGGTGCAGACCGTAATATGCCACCTCCTGGAGTGTCAAATAACTCTGTCCTTGTTTCTTTGTTTACTGTTATTCTCCATTTCTTATCAGAAGGTTTTGCTGTTGGGGACATCTATGACTGGATCAAGGGCTTCAGAATTAATTCTGGAGCTGATATAGGTTTCCTTCACAGGGGCGGCCAACAAAGCTTCACTGCTGGCTTATTTCTAAAGAATGATCCTCATCGAGTTGACATTTCCAGGCTTGGAGGATCTTATAGTCATCTAGTGAAATTTCATCCTGTAGATGATCAACAGGAGGAAGAAATTGTTCGGTGGGAAGAAGGGTGCATGGATGATGAAAAAAGCAGAGCTACACATTTCAGTGGGCCAAAACCATGTTGCTGTTCTAGTTATGATGCTGATTTTTCAAAAAATTCTAAGAATTCCATAAGATATTCAACGAAGGGTTCTCGAGGAAGTTGCAGCTCTATTCCAGAGAGATCTGCTCATGTTGCGGCTGAATGCAGTACTGGGAATCTGAATGACGAGATATCTGATAAACCGAGTACAAGCGACCACTCTGACTCTGAGTTTGGTTTTCGGCCTATGCAGCAGATGAGGATATTACCCAGGGAGAACAAATTTTCTTCAGCTACTCTGAAAGAGGAGGAGCTTCTAGATGCTCTGCTTTTGTTGTATCATTTGGGTCTTGCACCGAACTTTAAGCAGGTCAGTAAAATTTTATTTTCACTCTTCATTCTGGCTCGAAAATGGTCATGATGTGACTGTCTACAGTTGTAGACACTTTGAGATTATTAAATTCTCCGAAGGAAGGAGACAGTGAAATGAATGCATCATTTAAATAAAGTAAAGAAGGTTGATCAACAGTTCGCATTAAAAGAGTCTAGCTAAATATGTGCATTGAACTCTACTGATAAACATGTTACCTGGAAGAAAATTCATGAAGGCACAATTGGTAATTGCATTATTTATCATTGTGACATAATTTTTATCCGTCAGATAAGCTCAAGATTTCATAATTTATTGCCTACAAGTACTTACATTGTCACGGTGAGAGGTGCTATAGTACTGTAAATGCTTGTAATGCTCCAGTACTTGTGTTTCCATCTGTCTTGAGATCCCAAATTCTTAAAAGATGCTGTTCTGTTGCCACAATACTGAGCTGCATATTTCCCTTCTCAATCAGGAAATGCAAATTCAAGCTCTTAAAAAGACTTGAATGCACACTCTGAACTTTGCCCTTTTTTCTTTCTCATTTTCTTCCCCTAGGGACAGTGGTGGTGGGGTGGGATGGGATTGATCCATCTGGCAGAGGTACTCTCTCTTTCAATTTTTGAGTGCACAGCATAGTACATCAGCAACAATAGAAAAATGTGTGGGGTAAATCCTTATGGTTGATTTTTGTATATGTTAATGTCTTGTTTGATCCCGTCTCATGATTTCTATAGTAAATCCTCATGGTTGATTTTGCTTCTTCAAGAATAATTTGTGCGGTAGCCTTCCTGTTGTGTATTAATTCTTCTAACAAGTGTTGTGGTAGGAAATTTTGTATACATGCTTGGGCAGCAATTAATTTTACTTCTGCCTTACGTTTTGCATGTTATAACAGCTGATTCTGCTAAATGATCATTGATTGTTACTGACAAATTTTGAGTTAAAATTATATGAAAGAACTTTATATTGCAGGCATCATCTTTCATGTCTCGTCAGTCACAATCAATATCACTGCTGGATGAAACTGATAAGCAAATCAGAGATAGAGTTCATGGGGACCAAGTGAAGCGCTTGAAGGAGGCTCGCAGAGTTTATCGAGAAGAAATTATGGATTGTGTCAGACATTGTGCTTGGTACTGTGATCCACTTGGACAGCTTCTATTGCATTGCTAATCGGTCTAGTTTTTACACACGCCTTTTATGCCCTAAACTTCAGTGTTTACATGGATTTTTTATTTTCCTTCTTTTACTGAGTTTGTTATCCATCCTCACTCTGGCTGCCTTCAGGGTTCCAGGCTGAACAGATGTGTACTAATTATTCATTTAGGGGCTTTATGCATAATAGTAAAAGCACCATTTAAAATAAGGATGGGGAGTTAGCTGAAAAATATAATGAAGTACAAAATAAGAGGCCAAGATGTCCTCTAAATGCTATAGACAAACAGAAAATTACACTAGATTCTGCCAGTCCCCTAAATTATAGGAAAAATTGTAAACTGGACTTTGTTGAACTGTATACCACCATTCATTCCCGTTTCCTGTTGACTTTGAAATACAAAGTGATGTTCAAAATCGTACGTGCATATATTTATGTGTTTATGGGATCACTGGAGCCTTGTAACTCTTCCTTGCCTCTTTTTATCGATGGTGCTGTATTGGCAATTAGGTTCTTTTTGTCAAATATACTCAATAAAAGACTCGATCCCCTCTTTGTGAGAGGTTCTCTCATTAAATAGAACTAAAATAACAACTAAATATGGAAGCAATCAATTACAATATTAATTAATGGTACAAACAATCTATCTATATCTAATACAATTATAATAATTTAATCGTAATCTTCGACGATTTTCGAAATTTTATTCAAGCTCCTTGACAGTTAACTAGCATATGGATAATACTCA